TATATATATATATATATATATATATATATATACAGTATATATTCTAGAACACAGCATTTATGTATGATCCATGCTTCTTCTAGCAGTTTACCTCAGTGTTCTGAAGCAGTTGCATGTTTTCTGCAGGTATTCCGACCTGAAGCATGCATTCTCAACCTGAAGCACAATCTTGACACATTAGCTGTAAATTAGTATTTAATGACCCAAACACAGCTACTTGGAAACACACTTAGAGAAAAGACTAATGGCAAAGCTGATCAGTTTGTTGATGAAAATTTATTCTGAGATGACCATGTCTTTGATGACTGATCCTTTTATAAGATGACTGTAATGTAATAGGTATTCTGAAGTGACCTCGAATCAAATGTTGTTCATAGAAATATAATTAGTGATCATGCTTGTTATACTTGTAAACCTGAGGCCTCCACTTGTATTTTCCTAAATAAAACATCATATAAACTGACCTTAAAAAAGTTATACATGCAGCTTTTCACATATATGCTAAAACATGCAATATGGACTTATTCACAGCATCTGAAACAAAACTTTTCAACAATCTCATGGCAGTTTGTAACTGTTTTATGTGTTGGCGGATTGGTGGCTAATTCGTGTGAATTTGTATGATCTCATTAGTACATTTTCAACTATTATAAAAAAAATAGTACATAATACACATCTGCTTATGGACCTTCGTGCTTACTTTTTTTTATTCTATAAATTTTATGTTTTTGTGCGATTCATGAAAAACAAAACCACAAACAAAACAAAAAACATACATAATCTCCACTTCATAAAATAGTGACGATTTCTTGTAAGATAGGGTTGAAACTTTAATGTATAGACAGCGTAAAAATATTTACACAGCCTTTATATTATACATGTTTATTAAGAAATATATTTAGATTCAAAGGCTTTGTAAAATACTCTATAAACACACCTGTGACCTTATTGTAACAGAGATGCTGGAGTTTGGTTAGAATCCATGAGCGGAAGTTTGTTAAAGGTCAAGGCTTTAAACAAATGTCGATAATCAGGCAGAGGGTCAAAGTCAGAGAAGCAAGCAGATCATTTGTTGTACACAAGGGCAGAAGCAGAGACAATAGTGGAGAGGCAGGCAATGAGTCCAAACAAACATCAGTCCTATCAGGCGTCAGAACAAAAGGGGCAGAGTACAAATACCGTGAGTCAAGAAGTCAGGCAGAATCATACACAGGATACCAATCAGGAACAGAGGAAGAATAACGCTTGGTAAGGCAGGTAAACTGGCAATACTTCGCAATCAGCACATGGACTGGTCTCAGTTTATCGAGAGATACCAGGATGACCGGAGCAGAGAGAAGTGTGAACCCATTGCATGATTCGAAGTCTTAAAGCTTGAGGTACATAATGCTTTCCTGGGGATGTGTTTGTGGGTGGGGGGTCTTGTTGTTGTGCTTCTCTTAGTTCTTACATGATATCCCAGGAGACTGTGGCTAGGATGATCGAGCTGGGTAGAATGGGACCGGTGATGTGATGCTCTGTGGAGAGGTCATATTGTCGGGAAAGAGCATCTGCTTTTCCATTCTTGCTGCCAGGCCGATAAGCTACAGTAAAATTGCAGCGTGTGAAGAGTAATGCCCAACGGGCTTGCCGGGGGTTAAGACGCTTGGCACTCTTTATATATTCAAGATTCTTATGGTCTGTAATCACTTGGAAGGGATGAAGAGCTCCCTCAAGCCAGTGACGCCATTCTTCGATCGCTGCTTTCATGGAGAGTAGTTCCTTATTTCCAACATCATAGTTGCGCTCAGCGGAGGTTAGTTTTCTGGAGAAGAAAGCACATGAATACAATTTGCTTGGTTGTCCTTGTCTCTGAGAGAGAGTATAGCACCTATGCCACAGTCTGAGGCATCCACCTCTAGTATGAATGGTTCGTTCGGATCAGGATGTTTTAGGATAGGGGCTGTTGTGAACCGTTCCTTCAATGCATTGAAAGCGTTGTTAGCTTCCGAAGTCCAAATGGAACTCACTTTTCTGCCTTGACATTTAATTCATTCTCTAAGAGCCAAGAAAGGACTGTTCTGACATGGGAAATGTGCTCGTGTTCTGTCGTGGAAAATACGAGAATATCGTCGATGTATGCAACCACAAATTTATTCAGGAGGTCCTTGAAGATTTAATTTATGAAAGATTGGAATACAGCGGGAGAGTTGGCCAGCCCATACGGCATTACCTGATATTCATAGTGCCCCCTAGTGGTGAGAAGCTGTTTTCCATTCATCCCCTTCTTGGATTCTGATGAGATTATATGCACTTCGAAGATTGAGCTTGGTGTAGATTTTAGCTTCTCTGAGTTGTTCTAGTGCTGATGGCACTAAAGGAAGGGGATAGCAAAACTTAACAGTAATATTATTCAGTCCTCTATAATCAATAAATGGTCTTAGTTCACCATTTTTCTTCTCCATGAAGAAGAATCCTGCAGCTGCTGGGGAGGTTGATGGTCGGATAAAACCGGATTTCAAGGCTTCATCCACATACTCCTCCATGGCTTGACTTTCGTTTCTGGAAAGTGGATATACTTTACTCTTGGGGGGTTGTGTGTTAGGCAGGAGATCGATGGCACAGTCCCCAGGTCAATGTGGAGGAAGTGGTGTGGCTTTTACCTTGCTGAATACATCAGAGAGATCTCGATAACAATGGGGAATATTAACTTTCTTGTGCGTCTCAGGGCTTTCCACACTGGTTGCGAGACATGATTGGGGTGTTGCACTGATACAGTGACTCATACAGAAAGATGACCAGCGGGTCAATTCACCTTGATGCCATGAGAGTTCAGGGTCGTGAGTAGAGAGCCATGGATATCCTAAAACAAGTTCGTGTTTGGGAGAGTCGATGATGTAAAAGGCGATGGATTCCTTATGAAGGGTTCCAACTTTGAGGGTGAGTGTTTTAGTCTGGTGAGTGATGCCTCTTCCAATCAATCCACCATCGATAGCCTTGACTTGGATAGGTGGGGTGCACATTTGTGTAGGGATTTGATATTTGGTTACGATGTCCTGGTGGATGAGATTCAGGGTGGCTCCGGAGTCAATCATCGCTGTGAGGTCAAGAGAGAGAGTATCAGTTCTTAAGACAACAGGGAGTGTGAATGACTTGTTGCTTAAAAGGGCAAAATGTTCAATATTTACCCGGGGATTCTTTTGAAGCTTGTGGGGGCATCCTAAACTGCGGTGGCCTGATTCACCGCAGTAAAAACACAGTCGTTGATGTCGTCTCCGTTCTCTTTCGCTCTCAGATAGTCGGGACGCGTTTATTTGCATGGGTTCCTCAGGGGAAGACATTTCCACAGGGTTGGGTGTGAGATTGTTGGTTCGCCCATCTTTTCTACTTCTCCTTTTAGGAGCTTGTCTCATGAAGTTATCAATCCTGATGGCGAGTGTGACTAAATCGGAGAAGGAGGACTCCTCACCCTTGCATGCAAGTTCTGCCTGAAGATCGCCGTTGAGACCTTTGTGAAACATAGCTTTTAAAGTGACATAATTCCATCCACTCTGGGCAGCAAGTGTTCTGAATTCAATGGCAAACTCAGCAGCGGAACGATTACCTTTTGTCAGATTGATGAGCTGTCGAAACGTCCTTTCTGCCGTGAGGATATTCAAACACTTCACGGAGTTGTTGAATGAAGTACGTCACTGAATTCCTCAGGCGTGAATCCGAGTCCCAAACGACTGCTGCCCAGTCGATAGCTCTGCCCGTCAACAGTGTCATGATGAAAGTGCACTTTTTGCCCTCTGATTCAAATCTCTCTCCTTGATGATCCAGATAAACTTGTACTTGGCGAATGAAGCCCTTGCATTGCTCAGCGGTACCGTCAAATTTGTCAGGAAGAGCGAGACTTACGTCTTAGGAGTGGGTGGAGGGAGAGATTGAATGTAGTGTGTCAGGTGTTCGTTGACCCTTCCGCTGGATTCATAGGTGGCGAAGTATTCTGTAACAGAGACGCTGGAGTTTGGTTAGAATCCATGAGCGGAAGTTTATTAAAGGTCAAGGCTTTAAACAGATGTCAATAATCAGGCAGAGGGTCAAAGTCAGAGAAGCAAGCAGATCGTTCGTCGTACACAAGGGCAGAAGCAGAGACAATAGTGGAGAGGCAGGCAATGAGTCCAAACACAAACATCAGTCCTATCAGGCGTCAGAACAATAGAGGCAGAGGACAAATACCGTGAGTCAAGAAGTCAGGCAGAATCAGCGTCAGGTGTTCGTTGACGGTCTGCAGCTTGGTGAGTTGTTCCTGATATTTCTGGAGCATTTCAGCTTGGTATGAGAATGCTGCTTGCAGATTTAACACTTCCTCTGGATTCATAGGAGGCGAAGTATTCTGTAACAGAGACGCTGGAGTTTGGTTAGAATCCATGAGCGGAAGTTTATTAAAGGTCAAGGCTTTAAACAGATGTCAATAATCAGGCAGAGGGTCAAAGTCAGAGAAGCAAGCAGATCGTTCGTCGTACACAAGGGCAGAAGCAGAGACAATAGTGGAGAGGCAGGCAATGAGTCCAAACACAAACATCAGTCCTATCAGGCGTCAGAACAATAGAGGCAGAGGACAAATACCGTGAGTCAAGAAGTCAGGCAGAATCATACACAGGATACCAATCAGGAACAGAGGAAGAATAACGCTTGGTAAGGCAGGTAAACTGGCAATACTTCGCAATCAGCACATGGACTGGTCTCAGTTTATATGAGAGTCAAACAGGAAGTGAAAGCAGAGGAAGCAGAGGGAGTGGAGCATGGTCAGTACTCGGGCAAGGGCTCCCTCTGCTGGCTTGGCATTACAGTTATTAATTAAGTATTACTGTTTTGATTATTTTATGAAACCTTGTCAGTTAAAGTCCCATGAAGCCATGGTTTACAGTGAATTTAAGAAAAAGCTATTCTAAAATCGCTGTAAACCAGAGCTTCTTGGGGTTTATTACTTTATTTTACGATGACATATATATATATATATATATATATATATATATATATATATATATATATATATATATATATATTTCAACCATATTAATCACAATAAATCAGTATTTGATGTACCTTAAAAGATTCATAAACATTTCTTCATACTAAAAATGTCTTTCTTTTAGATACTGTCATGTAAATATATGACAATATATTCTGTTAGAACCACATTTTACATACAAATACCTCTGTTTACTGACATTGGGTATCACTGTCCTTATTACACTTCATAACATCATTGTTAACATGATTCTCACCACCATCACCGTTATCGTTTCAATCACTGTCATCACCATCATTGCAATCGTCACTTCACCATCTTCATTCTCCTTAGATGTTCTACAGTCACCTCACACCTCTCTCATCTCAAGTGTTTTGTTGTTTCAGAGTTTGAGGGGATATCTGAGCTTGTGGCACCTGCGGCCACATCCAGAGCTGCAGACCCTCTTCATAAAGCCAGTGATTCTAACAGATATTCACCTGAGCAGAGAAACACTGCTGCATCCAATAGATCTTCGGCTACAGCTGTGAACAACACACAACGAGAACGTCCAGCCATTACAACCACTACTGTATCTCAGCCTACAATATTTAACAGCAATACTGTCACCACAGCCAGCATCCCCTTTACGAAAACCACAAATCAGATTAGCTCTACCCAATCATCTGCTGCTAAACGACACTCCAAAACACCTAGGACAACTATCAGAACTACAACTACAGAATCTCCAAAGACAACACCTAGAATCCTTCCTGTCTCCATCTCACAGAGTGCTAAATTGGACCCTTCAAGGAGCACCTTAGCTCCTCCAAGAGCTGCTGCTACTGAGGCCTCGATGCTGAGATGTAACATCACTGACAAAATGTGGATAAAAACAGGTGTGATTGCTCAGATCAAATATTGATCTTTATGAAATGACAGAAAATCATTGTAGTGTATCAGTGTTGTAGTCGAGACCAGCTCGTTCAAGTCTGAGTTAAGACTGAGACCAGAAGATGGTTGATTCCTACTTATCAGATAGATAGATAGATAGATAGATAGATAGATAGATAGATAGATAGATAGATAGATAGATCTTTTACCAGACCAAGACAATGAAAATATGGTTTTGGGCTCGCACTCAAGATCTCAAGATGTTTTGAGTACTACAGCATTTACTGTCATTTGCCACTGCTGCCATCAATCATGCTGAATAAATCCACCTGTACATGTTCAATTATGGATGAATGCTATTTGTTATCATGACAGATTGTGTAGGTGCTACTGAATCAGTGCTACAGTACTTGAGAATCAACTTGATCTCAAATCCAAGAGCATATTTCCATGATGGATTCGGGACTCGAGTCTCGACTTGGACTCAACCTTCTTCTGTTCTTGACTTTGGCCCTGTTTATACCTGGTATTAAGACCAGACCAAGACAATGAAAATATGGTTTTGGGCTCGCACTCAAGATTGAGACTGGTTTTGAGTACTACAGCATTTACTGTCATTTGCCACTGCTGCCATCAATCATGCTGAATAAATCCACCTGTACATGTTCAATTATGGATGAATGCTATTTGTTATCATGACAGATTGTGTAGGTGCTACTGAATCAGTGCTACAGTACTTGAGAATCAACTTGATCTCAAATCCAAGAGCATATTTCCATGATGGATTCGGGACTCGAGTCTCGACTTGGACTCAACCTTCTTCTGTTCTTGACTTTGGCCCTGTTTATACCTGGTATTAAGATGTGTTTTGGTTGATCAGATCAAAAGTAGATGAGGAAGACACATTCCCATTTTTACCTACTGTTTTAATCCATATCTTTTGTTCACTTCTGACCACTTTCTTGATAGGAAAAGGGAGAGTCTATGGCCGGATGTATATATGGGCTTTTTCTGATCTTTCAGAAAATATTGTAAAAATATTGTGTAATATTGTGAAATAAGCTCACACAATTTACTAATGAATGAGACAACGGAAAGGATTCGGAGCAGTAGCGGCTTCTGACTGTAAATGTAGGTGGGGCAGATCGTGGTGCTGCTAGTTTAAAATAACCTCAAGAAAGCTTATAGTCTTTATAGTCTAACACATGCTCCCACACTTTTGGCAGAGATCTAATGTCCTTGCGTTATTCAGCCAGTGGGTGGCACACTAATGTTGATTGACAGGCTCAAAGTACACACACACAGAATGCTATAGAATTATTGCCTTAATATTGTCTCCGAATGTGGATTTAAAATGTTACAAGTTGTAGAGGAATTTAAGTGAGGAAACAAATATCATGTCTCATCTCAAAACGAACATAAAACAAACAAAACAGAACTATATAGGCTAAAGGCTTTTTACGTGAGTACATTTCAACTTCAGGATTAACACTTTCATTAATTTAAAACACTACTCCACATAGGATAAACAGACATGCCAGCTACTTACTGACCTCATGCAGACACATATAGCTGAAGCTGACTGATATTGTCTTGGTCTGGAGCGAGACAAAGTAACGCAAAAAATAAGCGGGGCAGTCTCAAAACTGCCCAAATGGCTCTCAATTAGAATGTGCTGCAGTTCCACTTTTCACCACAGATTTACATTGGAAAATGCTGTTGAGTTTGGGAGGACGAGTGCCCCACTTAGTATCATTTTACATGCTTGCTGAAGCTTGCGATGAATTTTAATATATCCTGTGCACTTTATGACTTAAAATTGTCAAGAAAATCCGAAAAATATTTGTTGCAGAATGCTGAACACATTTACAGTTGATTATTTATTCAGTTTATCTAGAGGTCTATCTTTTGGGTGAATATTTTGGTGGGGCTCTGCCACCCATCTGCCCTTACAGATGAGCCACGCCTGATTCGGAGAGCAGCAGCTTTCGTTTCTTACACTTATCTTAATCAGAGTTTGTCTTACTATTGGGAAATTATAGGGTCTGTATTACTTACTATTGGAGAAAGTGTAACGGTCAACGTGGATCACATGTGCCTTAATAACCAATCACATTACAGCCTTGACGAGCCACGCCTGATTCGGAGAGCAGCAGCTTTCGTTTCTTACACTTATCTTAATCAGAGTTTGTCTTACTATTGGGAAATGATAGGGTCTGTATTACTTACTATTGGAGAAAGTGTAACGGTCAACGTGGATCACATGTGCCTTAATAACCAATCACATTACAGCCTTGATGTCATTGAATTTTAGTCAGTTGTGCGACACTCAATAGCCGTTAGGAATGAATACCATAGGAATGAATAAGAAGTGCCATAAGCTGTATCCCACCTGTCACAAAAACTAAAGTATTGTTTAGTGTAAAACATGTTGAAGATTAGCCGATAGGCTGTTAATTCATTCAATTATGAGCTGTTTCCTCTAAAAAGCTGTTTATTCAGCGTAGTGAAGCCTCTCCTCCATTGACATCCATTAAAAAAAAAAAAAAGCGCCTCTGGTCTCCTTTCCCACAGACATGCCAGAGTGGAAGTGTTAGCATTAGTCGTTACTCTTTTTTGTCTAAAGGTTGCAGGCTTGCCTTCTAGTGGCTTTGTCTTCATACCAGGTGCAAACAGTGCCTTGGATGAGCTGGTCCCGACTATAGCATTACTGTAAATTACACTGTAAAAAATTACACTGCCAAGAATTTACAGGATTAAAGGGAATTATTTTACAATAAATCACTGTAGTCAGAAATTTACTGTGAAATCAATGCATGCTGGGTCATTTTCTTACAAATTACTGTGAATGAACAGCAAAATTATGCTAACATCACAGTAATTTACTGTTCTTCTTTTACTGTGAATTCACATTATAACATTGTCTTTAACTGTGCCACTTTGAGAAATTACTGCTGTAATTGTTTGGAAGTCACCATAATGGTGGTTAGTGATTAATATTTGTTTGGGATCTTGGACCAATTATATTCATATTCAATTTTTGTATCTACTCATGTCAGAAATGTGACAAATTAAAACTAGAATATGAAATAAGCTAATTTCCTGAATTTAAGTAAGTTGAACTATTCTTATCATGAACATTAATATTTTATTTTAGCATTACTTAAGCATGAAGATTAATCAATAACTTATTTCATATTCATAACTGTTTGTGGATAAATCTTTCACAATAGCGAAACAACTGCTGAGATACATCTTTGAAAGATCAGTACTCGACATACAAAACACAACAATGTTAACACTCAACAAATAAAAACAACACTAACAACATACCAACATTACAAAAGAAACAAACACAAACAGTTCAATAGCACAAATAAAACCAACAAGAATTAAAAAAAAAAAAAATCTCTACAGCATGATTGTTTTGCCTTCATAGTACATATGTTTGTTTACAATACATTTCTGAGAGTGCAGTTAGATACAAGAGAAGTCCCACTGTGAAATTACGGTGAATGCAATTATTAACCTGGAATATACTATAAATTCACACTAAAATTTTAACAGTGTACAGTGAGCACTGCTAATAGGTGTTACCAAGTGCCTTACAAAATTACTCTTACAGAAATTGACCATGGTAACCATAGTTCTGCCAAAATACCAGTTACTTCAATCTGTGAAAGAAAGTAGCCATAATCACATGGAACTGGAGAAGTGGCCTGGTTTTTACAGTATGTGCAATTACAGATTAAAACAAGCTCAAGTCAAGCCACCTTTATTTAATAATGTTTTATACAATAAAGATTGTTCCAAAAGCAGCTTCAGTATAAATCATGAAAATAACACAGTCAATTCAAATTCTTCAAATATGAGACAAATTCAAATTCTGCTGTAAAGCAGCTCTAAAAATAAATTTGTATAATTATTTAGCTCAAATCAGTATAATGTTAATTCAGTTCAGTTCAATAACTTTGCAAAGCTTATCAATTATGAAACAAGTTTAATTACCATGTAATTTGCCAGTCCCAATCCTTCCTGCCTCTTCAACGGCCTTATAAATTAAAGTGGCAAACAGTTATTAAATACATTTAAAAAAAACAAAAAACAGAAAGATTCTAACAATGTTTGCAAAAGTCTAATACTAATTTATCAAGAGTGTTTAGTAGTAACAATAGCTGCATATTTTTGGCGAAAAACTATGGTTACCATGGCACATTTTCTTAATAGGTCTTCCTGATCAAATGGTTTTATTAGAACATATAACTTATATCTTTTAAAGCATTTTTTTCTTTCTGTCAATCACAGTGTTGTCCGTACAGTTACGGAGGAGTCGTCTAGACAGTATTTTGAAGCAGAATCTCCCTCGAGGGTTTACTCAAGCTCTGAAGAAGGCCTTGAACGACAGCACGGTTCAGGCTAAGGTTTGCACTTCATGAGTTTATAACAGAGTCATCGTTTACGGTTTGTTCAGCATCAAATATGCACCAACACAAATTACATTCTGCTTTAAGCAATGTTTGCTATCTTGATATAGCTACCACCAAATCTAGCTACTAAATTAGACAACCCCTTCAGTCACACATCCCTCTCTTAACATTAGCAAACACGTACAAAAGAAGTTTTAACAGATCAATGTTTTAGCCAATCACCTTATGCTGTAAAAGCCATGTGACTGATCACTCTGAAACACAAAATTTGTTTTGCACACATAATGGTGTAATCCACAACCAGGGGCTAAGCATGGGTATTTTATATTCTGTTATCAGCAGCTCTCTTGCTTTATTGCTTGTCATCTTCTCTTTCTCATTTTAATATTCATTTCAATTCTCATGTTGGAAGCAATCCAGGGAAAACTGAAGTTTGTGGCCCATCAAAGTGATGATTGAAGGAACTACAGGGGTTTTTATTTGGCCATTATTTTTTTATTTAGGAACATAATATTAAAGTAATATTCACACCATGGGTAATTAATTTTTGATTCATGATTTCACTTAGAAGCTAAAAAAACAATATATAAATACTGACTGATATTGGTATTTGATCATTTTGATATTTGCTAGCAATATGCTAACACTCTTAATGACGCTAGTTCATATGCTGGTTTAACCCTTGTAGATAAAGCTGGTCAATCAGCATGATTTTTTTTTTTTTAATTCTTCTTCTTCTTCTTCGATCAAACTGGGGGGGGGGGTTATTTTTTTTCTCTGTGCCCTTTAATTTTTGGACTAAGTATTTAAATGTCCCTTTTTAAAAGGAAAACTGTTCACAGGAAAGAGTTTATTTGCATGCACTGTATCGAAAATTGAAAAAGCAGGTTTTTGCTTAAGAAACTTTGTTATGCTTCAGCTCCTCTGTTTGTAATCAGATAATTTTAATCTGCTAAATTCTCAGTCCAAGGATCCAGAAAGCAAATGCATTCCACAGTCAGTCCCAAACAGTACTAATGCAGAATAAACTCAGGTGATTACATGGCAGACTCATGTCTATTTTTCAGTGAATTATTAATTCCAATGTGTATTTAACTTACTTAAATTAAAATGTATTCCTTAATGAGTAAACCTTTTAAATTAGCACCAAACTACAGAATACATCTTTAATACAAGTGTTTCCTGTATATTTTCACTAATTTTTGGACTAAGTATTTAAATGTCCGTTTTTAAAAGGAAAACTGTTCACAGGAAAGAGTTTATTTGCATGCACTGTATCGAAAATTGAAAAAGCAGGTTCCCCTTCAGGAACTCGAGCTGCGTCGAGTCGCTTTGGGAACACCCTTGCGTGACCGCGTTCTGAAGCACGTGTCAAATCCGTCCAATGGAGCAGCGAGACGTCACGAGCAGGGTGACGTAAGCACCAGAAAGCATAAAAGCACATCC